GAGGAAATCATAATTTCATCTCTACAGGCGCACAGAGAAATTCAGATGCCCTGACTTGTTTCATGGAAGGAATCTGTTCCCTTTCTTTGGTGGGCACAGGTATTACTTTTGCTCCCTCACACCACCCTCCAGTTTCAGGGAAGAATACTATGCATAGGGAGCAGTAGTTTTAAAATCCTTGATTGTGCTGAAGGGATTGGGAATTCAGTAATAAAATTTCTAGATGATCTCCAGAACACCGAAGTACTGTTGAGCAGTCGGCAATGCTAGAAAATGTCATTGATCTTACATTTCTGGACAGTATTTTAGCAGAATTAGGAAAAAAAAGTAAATTCAAGTGTAGTTGACAAGGGGATATAACATGTAACAATCTTTCCATTTAGGGTGTAAATAGAGTAGTGGGAAAAGTATGTCTCCTTTTGTATTTTACTGGGCAAATTTGAGAAATTCAGTCCATAGTACTAAAACAAACAAAGATCGACATCCTATTATGAAATGTATTTAATGTTTTCTTCTCCCTAAAGTTGTTGGGCACAATCCATAGTAGGGTCAGCTCTACTATGTGACATTCATGTTGGAGTAGAGTACACTTATTAAATGTGCAGGTAGCAGGAGGGTTACAAGCACTGAAAGAAAGGATTAGAAAATGATTCTGACAGTTTGGGTGAATGCTTTTAAAGAACTGGGATGCAACTGAGTGCAGTGATTGGCATAGGATGGTAAGTGACAAGTCAAAAGCAGTTCTGCAGAAAAAAGTCTGCAAAGAATAGTGGATGACAAAGTGATCATGAGTTAGTGATACCCTTCTATTTGGGGGTAGAGGAAAGGCAGACATCATAGTGGCTGTGGAAACAGGAATGCAGCTGACAAGATGAGAAGTAATCCTTCATGGTGGGAAGGGTGAGGGTAGACATAGTAACACTCTTCAGGAACAAAAAAGTAGATATGAGGTTGAGCAGGAGATTTAGTCTCTCTGGTTTGATGCGGTTTGAAAAGGTGATGGAATTGTTGGAGGCCTTTGAGCACAACTTGTCTCTCAGGAGTGGTACAGAGAGTTGATCTTGCTCTGGGAAAAAAGCTCATCAACATGGTCTCTCGAGAACGATCTGAGCTCTATTTTCAGATGTGTTCGTTACTTTAATATTCTTGGGTTTTTATTTTATTCACAGCTGATTGTGGTTCTTAAAATACTTGTAGTATGTTAAAAACCCACACATTTGATCAGCATCTCATGCTTACTCTTTCATTGATATTGCTACAAGTGCACGTCACCATCAGTTTCTCTAAAGTGGTGATGTAAATGACAACAATCATAGGATGTATTGGATTTTTATGGGAACCAGGTTGTATTAAAGTATTTATATCCTTTGCTGGAGTGTTTGGCATGGCTATCATAACATTTATATAAGTCAGCACTTAGAGTATTTGACTTAAAATAAGTGCTAAAGGGTTATTCAGATAATATACTATATTTACATAGTGCTAGTGTATATGGTTCTAGAAGCAAAGATTGATTGACATTTGTGGTTGTGTTACTTCTACAGTGTGAAAGACCTGGAAGGGGGACACTTGAGAAGTGGTGTGCAATTGTCATCTCTCAAACATAAGAAAACAGTAGAGAGTCACAAATATTAAAACAGAAAATGAAAATATTTTAAGTGGTGGTCTGTTCAGAACTGGGTGCTCTCCACATTCCCCTTTAACAGTTTGTAAGCATCAGCAGAGAACAATGTGTGATATTCTGATGCTTCATGTATGCTTCATGTATACATTATGGAGCAAACTCATTTGTTTCCTTTTGATATTTGCAATCTCATATATGGGCTCATTGCCCATGTAAACCATTTGCTAGGACAGAATAGTATTTTTCTGGGTTAAAATATATCTTGCATAAATCTACCAGTATTTTATTAATGGTAGTTTTAGACTGCTGAGTCTGCATTTATATTCTGGAAGAGATGGTCTCTCTGTTATTTCAAAGGAACTGAGCAGTAGAATTAATTAAAATAGAATTCTAGCTGAGACAGATAAGCTAAATAATGTTAAACCACTCCAAAGAGCATGTGTCCTTCCCATTGCTACTCCAGAAAGAAATGCCACAATGAAAATATTGAATGCACATGTTTCTTATGTGTAATTTGGCAACCAGCTAGGATCACTGGACTTAACCATATACTCAACTTTAAGTGGCTGCCAAGGAGAGACTGGTAAAACGAACAGAAAGATGATGGATGAGGAGATTGAAAATGGAGATGATAGGGTTAAATGCCGGTCAAGAGAATCAGTTTTTCCTAGTCACACATGTGAACTTGACCCCGGCATGTCAGAAATGCCATATATCGATTGTAGCTTTGAAATTTTGTGTTATTAGAAAAAGCAACAAGAGCTCTTTTCAACTCAAAATAAAAATCTTTGCTCAGGTGTTGCACCTTTCCTCTCTTTAGGCCTGTGTTCTCTCCCACCTCTCTGCCCCGCCCCCCCCCCGGCTTCCCTTTTTCTTCACCCTTAACTACTTAGCCCAGCACTGAAAGCCAGTTCATCCTTCTGCCAGTCCCTCTCCCATTCCTGGGCCTGCTGTGCAGGAATTCGTGTTGTCTGTAACGCAAGTAAGTTTCCACAGGCCTAATTCAGCCTTGAGGACCTGTGTGGTCCCACCAGCTCCAGTCTAGAAGGAAATGATAGACTAGAAAAGGCCTGTCCAGTAGAAAGGAATCTTCCTTCCATGTGGCTGAAAGGACGTTTTTGTATACCTAAGGAATGGGGTCATTTTCTATACGGCTCCTAATAATGACATAAAAACGCTTCTTGGATTAAGAGCCGTTTAGAATGCTATAGTGAGCAGAACTCAACTCTTTAGCTGTTGAACAAAATTATAGATATACTAACATTAGTATTTTAAAAAAATAAAAAGACATCTGTTAACATTAGGATGCAAAACAGCTTAGTCCTGATCAGTAAAAAAAATAAAGCATTCATTAATAAGGAAGGCATTATTCTGTAGACTCCCGCTTAGGACACCCAGCTCTACCGTGGATTCACATGACCTTTATGCCTGTTTTCCTGTCAGTTCATCCACCAGATTGGGTGGAGCAAAGATGTGGTTCTTCTCCAGGATTAGTTGCTTTGCAATCTTCACTCCACTTTGAAAGTGCACTGATGTTTAAGTGCTTAGCTGAAAGCAAAAATATTCTTTAAGCTGTTTAGACAGACCCACTTTTCGCAGCTTTTGGGCCTTTTTTTAGTTGCTTTTGATAAATTTGGATGTAATGATTAACTTTTTAATGACAGATACTGTGTATCTGTGTTCAGTAACAATATTTCACACCCGACTTGCTCTATGTGTTCACGTTATCAGACAAGTTTTAAGAACTGATCTGTTAGGTCAGATGTTTGTACAGATAGGCACAGGCCTCAAGGTCTTCATCTTGGTCAACAGTGTTCTGGCCCCCTTTGAGTATTCCTGTCTGTATCAAAGTGGTGGAAAAATGGAAGAATGACAGAAATCACTTGGTGGAATAGACTCTGAAATGCACTCACGAGGGGGCTAAGTACAAATCTTCTCCCCTGCCTGTAGTAGTTCAAACCCTTCAATAATTTTTAATTAAAAGACAAAGGGAGATATGAATGCATTTATTAATGCCTCAGCATTAAATTTTTATCTTCACCGTAACTGGGCACCAGTTTCAGAGACAATCTTTGCATTTCTACTATGAAACACAAACTGGATCATATCCTAGCAGGTATAGCTTTGCATTTGTTAGCAAGAGTGATAATTCACCGTTCTTTAAGGTGCCCTGTTGCTTTAATTTCCATTAAGACAAAAATATTGTATGCCTCAGAAAAATGGAAGAGGAAGGAGGCAAATGAGGTAAGGAATGGGAGAGATAGATCCACCCTGCTCGTTTAAGAGATACAACAAAAATATCGATAAAGGTCTGTTAAACATGTACAATTTACTTTATTCATCCTAGTGAAGGAGAAAGCCTGAGGCAAAAAATGGGTTAAAATAAAGAACAAGAATCTTACAGCAACTGGTAATTTTCAGTCTGTGCTATCATAGAATCCCAGAATATCTCAGGTTGGAAGGGATCATATCCTTGCATTTCCTTTTGTGCACAAGGCAAATGTAGTTGCCATACCAGTTGTGATCCTGGTAGCTCTTATAGAATTTCACTCCTGCAATGCAGGGAGAAATATTGCGTTTTACTTTCTGAAAGTCTGGTACGGTACCTCTGGCATCCACATTTACACATCATGGGACATAATGCACTTGTACTTTATCTTCCTGGTTCCAATCGGTAGATTTCTCTGGGGTTGTTACCAACAAAACTAGAGCAGGAGAAAAGCCACGAGCCTGAGCTCAGGATGCCAGAGGATCTAAAGAGGACAACTATAAACTGAAGAAAGGAAAATTAGGAGAGAATAGGAGAAAGTAATGTGATAGAAAACCTCTGTTTAAAAGACTGGGGCTGAAATGACAGGTTTCACCTGAGGATAACCTCACGTAGCAAAACACATTTTGGTCCTTTGAGAGATGAGGGAACAGTGCAGCAGCAGCTGTGATTTCCTTGCTGTGCTTTGGTTGAGGTTGCAGCCTTCACCCAGCTGAGATGGGGGTAGAGATGCGTGGGCATAGGTGTGTCAGGTGGGTGGAGGTGGGAAGCGGCAGCAGTGGAGGGGGCAAAGGCTCACTGCTGGCGCAGTGGGGGTGATGGAAGGGCCTGTGGTATGAGGAAGAGCTCCTCCTGCCCCGTGGGACCTCTGTTGATTGAGTGCACTGCATGGGACAGGTCTGACCAAAACCCTTTATTGGCAAGAGCATTTTCCTGGGAGAGGCATCCTTCCAGGTCTCGGCCGGTTGCAGGAGCGCTGGCAGCAGCAACAGCGTTGGTGAATTCCTCGTTCTGGCCTCCTTGCGCCCCCCAAAGTGAGGTGCTGGCTGAGAAGGGAGGTGGGCTGTACTGCTGGTCTCTCCGCTCGGCCTCCCGTGGCCGTGTCCTTCAGAAGAGCAGGATGCTGCGAATGCTGGAAAGTGGAAAGGAAGGGAGGAGTTGCAGGCACTGGGGCTGGGAGTGTTCAGGAGCAGGCAGTGGGGCAGGCGGGGGTGCCTGATGCCTGGTTGCCATCTGTCTCATCCAGCCTCTTCCTAACCCAGCTGCAGGAGATGTGCAGCAGTGGGGCAGCCTTTAAACCCTGCTGAAGGGAACCCCTGGGGAGCTGGCGCCTCGTCCCTCCCCAGAGCTCCTGTGCTATTGCTGTGAGACACGTTCTTCCTTCCTTTGGCTTTGATGCCGTTGTTGCCAAGGATGCCCCTTGCTCCTGGCTCTCCTTCAATGCTGAAAGTGCTGAGCCTGAGTGTCCTTGGCCTCCCGGGCTCCTGCCTTCCATTGTGGGGGTGACCCCGAGTGCCGAGGCACCCCCTCAATGTCCCTGGCTCTCATTTTAAACAGCGGTGACAGTCAATCACCTCCTGACAACCATGTACATCTGTACCCGGGTCGCACCCTGAAGGGACATGATGCACTTTGGTCACCAGTGGAACGCCCCAGAACGTGCCATCATCCGAGTGGGGCTGGAACAGAAAGGACCCAACAGCAATCGGTGATCTCAGACCCCATCAGCAGTGACTCCAAGTGAGACCCATTGGGTTCTCCTGGGTTGCAGGGGCTGTGCCCAGCATCTCCCCCGAGCCAGGACGCCTCTCAGGGGAAGAAAGGCCAGGGTGAAGCCCATCTTCTCAAAGCTGAATTGTCGCCCATTGAGGAATGATTGTGAGTATTTACTCAAAACTCGAGAAGGAAGAGGGAACTCTTAACTACAGGCTGGTCTCCTCTGTCCACCTCTCTGTCCATATAAAGAAAGGCGAGAGAATTTTTACCTATAGGCTAGTTTCCCTGCTTACGCCTTTCACTAGATCCAAGTATTTCCATGCTGTTTGTGTGTTTGTTTTTATCCATAGATGCTTAGGATACCTCATAGTAAGTTAGTATGAATCTTGTCATTCTCGAAGCTGTAATTAAGTCACTACTTTCATCATAACATATCCGACTGAATAACCTTGTTAATCATTGAATTGGTTAATGATTGAGTGCTGATAAAATTGAACCTTGGATTTGCGTGACACCATTAATAAATCTTATGTTGTTGCTAAATCGTAACTGTGTGAGATATTTCACAGTATCCCACGCTCTGCCTGCTGGAGCGTCTGGATGGTTTGAATGTGAGGTGGAGGTGGCATTTGCTGTGCCTCACTGCTGTGAGTCAGGGTCTCACCTTTTTCCTGCACGTAACAACTCAAATCCCTCGTTCACTTTAGCAATCGGCAGCATGTGTGTGATCAGCAAGTCCAAGTCGAATTTCTTCTCCAAATAGCTGGAAACTAATTTGGGGATAAAATCTCTCGCCTTCCCACCTAGGAATGGGAGAAAGCACATGCAGTGAATAATCAGGGGAATGCTGTTTTGGTAAGGTAGTGTTGCTGTAAGAGTCAGGACTGAGCAACCTATAGTGGTGCCTTCTGAGAAATTTTTCTCTCATTGGCAGGAGAGTCGGTTAGTGTAGACAATTTTGTGCATTGAACTGTATGAAATAGTTACAGGTTTATTTGCAGGTTTTATACCCATCTATAAAGAGGAAAGGCAGTGTTCCTGTTTAGTTATGTTTTTCTGGAAAACCCGCTCAAGGCTTCCGGGGACATTGCCAAGCCTGAGATTTTCTTGGTGGCCAAGAGCTGAGTGAATAATAACTATGAGGAAAAGTATCTTTTGTCCTACAGCTGAGGACATTGCTCAGAAGGTAAAACTCATTTTCAAGAGGAGAGATATTCATACTCACTGAAGGGTACCTGTTCCACAGACATTTGGAAATCACCATGAAACGAAAAGGTGGAACTGTCTGAAATGCTTTTGTATGTTTCTTACCTCCGAGCAGAGTCCCCTTCCATGTACGCCCACACAACACCAGCACAGGATCAAAGGATATCATTGAACCAGCAGGTGCTACTCCAACCATCACACAGACGCCAGTGTTCATATTGCAAGAAGCCAGGGCAGCTGTCTGATGGGACAGGCATCAGACAGAATTAGAGAACCCACTGCTGAGTTTGTCAGAAAAGCATCACTTCTGTGGAGGCATCTTCCCTCCCTGCTGATCTGAAACACACGCTGGCTTGTGCAGCAGGCATGGAGAGCTCGCTGCCTGTTTTAAGGCTCGTCCACCCTTTTCTCCCAAAGCCAACAGACGGCCTTTCTGGGCAAAGATGTGTCCAGTAGTGCAGGCAGCAGGCAAGGAGCTGCCTGCCGGCATGAATTTTGCCCTGCCAGGAGCCCGTGAATGATCCACGAGTGAGGACATGTGCTGAAGGGCCACCTACCATGGTATCTGCATGCCCAATGACCTCAAAGGAGTAGTCCACGCCGTGGCCGGTCATCTCAGTGAGCACCTCCTCCACAGGCTTCTGGAAGTCCCGAGGGTTGACACAGTCGGTGGCTCCCAGCTCCTTGGCCTTGGCAAACTTGTCCTTGTTGATGTCAACGGCAATGATGCGGGAAGCTCCAGCCACCTTGCAGCCCATTATAACAGAGAGGCCAACTCCTCCGAGGCCAAAGATGGCACAGGTGGAGCCTGGTTTTACCTGCGTGACATGGGGCCGTGTGAGCCTCCAGGGTGAGGAGAAGGTTTCTGTTGCCCAGGGCTGGTGAGGGTGCAAGGGAGGCCGTGGGGTGCTTGTGCTCGACACAGCTGGATACCAACCTTGGCGGTGTTGACGGCAGCCCCGTAGCCTGTGGAGAACCCACAGCCGATCAAGCAGACTTTGTCCAGCGGTGCAGCAGGATCTATCTTGGCCACGGCGTACTCCGGGATCACGGTGTATTCTGCAAAGGTGCTGAGCCACAGGTAATGGTGGATCTGTTTCCCCTTGCAAGTGAAGCGGCTGGTCTTGTCGGGCATCAGGTTTTGTGGTTCAGAGAAACTGTTGGGAGGTGTATGCATTTGTTTTTCATCAAGTGGAGCCACTGTGGGGGTGTCAGAGAGGTTGAGAGACAGCCGACCCCGTCTGGGTAGAGGGGAAGGAGAAGCAAACTCACTGGGACTTGAGGCAGAAGTTGGATTCGGGGTTCCGGCAGAAGCTGCATTGCCCGCAGTGAGGAATGCAGAGGGGGATGACTTTGTCTCCTGCAACAGAGCGGATGGATCCCTGGGAGGTGCCTCTTGCACCCCTGCTTTCTCTGTCAGGAGGAGATGCTCAGAGCCCCGCTTGCGTGTGTGTGGCGCAGACCAGGGAAGTGTCCGTGACAGTGCCATGCCATGGGCGTGCACTCGGGTTTTGGGCCACGGACACAGGAGCCGGAGGAACGTCTGAGCTCTGGGCAGCCTCATGCGCTTTGAGAGCTGAGTCCTGGGCGTGTGTTTGTGTGGGTGTCTTACCTGGTTTCACAGAGGTCACACCTTCTCCAACGCTTTCCACAATGCCAGCTCCTTCGTGGCCTGGGATAACTGGGAAATCCACGTCAACAAAGTGACCCTCCAACACGTGGTCATCTGTGCGACAGATTCCTGTGGCCACAATCTGTTTGGAGTGGAAGGAGCACGTGATGAGCTTCAGAAACGGTCTGGCGTTCTTTTAACCTTGGTTTGTGGAGGGATTTTTTACGGGGCTTCTCTGGACAGTTAAGGCATATTCATGGAATCACAGAATCATTAAGGTTGGAAAAGACCTCAAGGATCATCAAGTCCAACCCCACACCACCTGACCCAATAACCCATGTCCCCAAGCACCACATCTAC